GACATGTTTCTCCGTGTTTCATCGTGATATTACACTTTGGATTGTTGAATCGTTTACGAATCACGTTGTTGTTTTTGCTCTGGAAAGTGCATCAGAAGCACTGCGGTCACGTTTTTGTATCAGGATGGGAGACAAAGGATTTTCAGGGTTAAGACTGATTCTCCGGTCTGCTTTGTTTGTTGTAACGCTGCGCCTGGTTTATGGGGACCTGAGTTACTCTATTCCAGAAGAAATGAAACGAGACTATGTCATTGGAAACGTCGCGAAGGACCTCAGTGTTAATTTTGGAACCTTAGCTTCACGACAAGCCCGTGTTGATTTTGAAGGATCTCGGAAAAGGTACTGTGAAATTAATATGAGAACCGGAGATTTGATCACATCGGAGAGAATTGACAGGGAAAGCCTTTGCGGGAAGAAACCTTCTTGTGTTCTAAAAGTAGATCTGGTGTTAGAAAATCCTTTGGAGCTTCACCATGTAAGTCTGCATATTCAAGATGTGAACGACAATGCACCGCAATTTAACGAAAATTTGATAAGAATGGAAATAAGGGAGTCAGCAGAGAAGGGTAGCCGCTTCTCAATTGAAGAGGCCCATGACGCAGATATTGGTCAAAATGATGTGCAAAGATACAGCCTACATAAGAACGACAACTTTATTCTGGCTGTTGATAGCAATAGAGTTGAACTTGTTCTACAGAATAAACTTGATCGAGAGAAACAAAAGGAGATTAATTTACTCCTCACAGCTTTGGACGGTGGATCTCCTCAGAGATCCGGTACCGTAGCCATACACGTCACTGTGCTGGATGCTAATGATAACGCCCCAGAGTTCAGCCAGGCCGTTTATAAAGCCAGTCTGCCTGAAAACTCTCCTTTAGATACAACAGTGATTAAAGTCAGTGCCACAGATGCAGACGAAGGAGTGAATGGAGATGTAGCATATCAGTTTGGCCATGTGTCTGACAACGACATAAATGTATTTTCCATTGATTCCAAAACGGGAGAAATTAAAGTAACTGGTGTAATTGACTATGAAGAAAGAAGTTTTTTTGAAATGAGGGTAAAAGCCAAAGATGGTTTAGG